TTACAATTTTGTCGTTCTTCTAACCCTTTTCCGCGTGTGTGAATATTTATTATGTTTTGTACATTATGAGCAATGTACTCGCAATTAAATCAACAATTACGATAAATTAGCGATGCATAATTAACGATATAAAATTAAATTTTGATTAGAGAAAACCCTATTTCTTTCACTCTTCTCGTTCCTTTCGTCCGGAAATATTGCGCAAATATTTTCCTCCGCGCCGGATGTCGGTCGGAATTTCGAGCGTGTACTCTGGCACGGCAGAGAACAGGAAAAGCGTGATTGCTCAAGCTGAAGGGGGGAAAGGGGGGGGGGGCTTTCACGAGAGCTGTTTCCCTTTCGCCCTTCGCCGTTCTCGCACTCGCGATAAAAAAAAATCCAGATCCGCAATTGCACCAACCTGACGCCGTTGATCGCGCTTTCCGAGCGATTGTCATAATGAAAATTGAGTATGGTAGCAGGGAGTCAGGATCCATTTTCCTTTTAACCGTGCATATCTATCGCGGTATCCGTAGTGCGCAGGGAATATCGATTTTTTATCAGATTCTCTGCGAGGAATGTGGCAATAATAAAAGAGTCGGAAATAATGGACGTATAGTGAAAGTAATTTAGTTATTTTCTAATTTTTAATTCGGATAGGAAAACGGGACAAACTTGCCATCCAACATTGATTAACGCTATTTAATATGTAATTAATTTACTTTCTCTTCTCGGCTCACATAGTTAATTTACATAGTTAAATCGGATTACGGACGGATTGTATGAATCAGATTAAATGTATATAATATATATCCGATTATACGAAGAAAAACAAAATAAACCGTTGGCGAATTATTTGATCCGTGCGATTTGATCGACCAAATTTCATCTAGCTGTTATAAATACAATAGCTAAAAGTAACGCGATATCTGATAAATAAGTTAATATAAATGCACCGACGTTATATGTTTCAAATTTAATAATAGAACTCGAAAAATATTAAAGAACCAAACGCGAAATAAAGTAGCCTTTGAAGGACTACTTGGTATTTGGTCTATTAGAGCTTCGTACATTTTTAAATCTGATTATATTACAGGCACAATGTTTAGAAGCTATGAAAATTCAAAGATGCAAATCTCTTGGAACGTCTTGAGCGCATCAGTTTGCGGATGGATCTTAAAGATTGCTCTCAGCGATGGAAAATATACATGCTTTACGCGGGTATATATTGCTTTCTGATGTAATACCAATCTTATTATTCGCGCACATACGATAGAATCTGGGTCGTTTCGCTCTAGAAGCAGCCGGCCGCTCGCGTCATCGATTTGCTTGATGCACTCTTGCGTCTTTTTTTCCTTTCGATCTCGTTCCCACGTGTAACTTATGACTTAAGGGTAGATTGACACATTTCGCTAAGCTCATAGGAAATCTCGGAATGTGCGGTTTTGACAGAGATCCAACAGACAGAAGTTAGGGATCCGCTTTTAAACGTCACTTCTATTTTATTATTTTACTTTTCCTTTTTTTTAAACTAATAGCGAATTCAGTTGCTTGCACTGGTGCACACTGAGTGCACACTAAGGCTTGTTTGCAGTCAATTCTTATATTTAAGGATGGTCTTAAATATTTCTTGAAATATTTAGCCAGTAAAATTATCTGTATAGCATCCATACGGATCATTTTTTGGCTAAACACTCCTCGAACGTGTAGTTGAGACAAAGTTAAATGTCAAAATTGATTATAAACAGGCCTTAGTGTGCATTCGGTGCGCACTAGTGCAAGCAATCGAATTCGCTGTAAGTGTGCGAAATAATAAAAAACATATTTGATTTTGTACACAAGGTGTTCCGGGAGGAAAGGTCAATATTCTGGGAGGTGATAGTATCGGTCATTTTAAGCAAAAATGTTCATATGTATCATTGTATGAATATACAAAACGAGAGTTTTATTTCTATGGGAAACGAGATAAGAAAGATGTAATGATTCGAGGAAATGTAATTTGATCTTCAATTTGATATAAGATTGATCATTTATAAGTAAGGTTTCGCGGTTTTCACGATTTCAACGCCCCCTGGTTTTTCGACAATCTCGCGGTTATCATCGCGAGTAGGGAAATCAAGGAACTTTTTAGGTGCGGCACGCTCAGGCATGCTGTACTACGGTCGTAATAGTTACGTATTATTCTACTATATTTCCCGGCCGCCTCGTTATTTTGTCAGCCAGCACACGCACGGATTTAACTGCGTGACGAATATAGCGAATAAATGTTACCGCTATGCACTTCAAGGTAGTTAATCCTTTATTATGCACCACGTGCCAGTTATGGCGCAACGGCGATTACAATTGTAGCAAGTATCAGGGGAGTATTTCTTCCAATGGTACACTGAAAAAAATTTCTGGTCGAATATGGACGAATCAGATAATTCCTTTAGGATTTACCAGAATTCCTTTAGGATTTACCAGAATTCCTGTAATCCTACAGAAATTCTGGTAAATCCTAAAGGAATTTTGATAAATCCTAAAGGAATTATCTGATTCGTCCATATTCAACCAGAAATTTTTTTCAGTGTATATAAATATACTGCAACCACTGTTCGTTTATATATTTTTAAATTAGAACGTATAATTGAAGGAAAAGTTAAATGAATTGCTTTAAAATGTCGCTTGTTAGCCACTCATCAAATTTTGGATCCGCATTTAATATCTGATCCGAATCTTACCCTATATCGCTCGTTTAGATCTTTCATATTTATTCATAGCTTGAGAGGATAACAAATGATAATGTCGATACAAACGATGCCGATGATTTCAACAAAACGCACCGCAAACAGCTTTAGGGCGTTCAACGTCAGTGCTTTTTTTACTCGATAACGACTTTTACGATACCTCCACGTGAGTTAAGGTGGTAATAAATCGCCGCATTCATTCAGCGTCAGACTTTTACAGACGACGAGAGCCTCGCGTGCCAATTAGATGTGTTGTGACAGATCGATGTCTTTTGTCCCGCCATGTCAAGCGTCACGATTAGCCTCATTTCGTAAAATGCGATCGTTTTTACGATCTTACCTGTACGGTAAATAAGCGCGTAATTATTTCATCGCGTTACTTATTGCTGTTGGGCTCATAATACTGAATTATCTACTAAAAGTTTGCGAAACACAAAGAATGTGCGAAATTAATTCAATTCCGTTAAATTTCATATTTGGAAGAGAAAAAATTTGCGATATTCGCTTTGTTAAAGTCTCAAAGTAGCTTGAGAACATTCCTTCAGCGATTCGGTCCGGGCGAATGGTAAGTAACGATCAATGCGGATTAGAAGAAAGCGCCGAACCACATTCCGCGAATAACTACACGTAGAATGAAAACAGCAACGTGTTGTTGCATTTTATGTGCGTGTACGGCAATGACGTAGAAAGTTACTTTATCGCAGTATCAGTTTTAGCGTTAAATGTACGACAAAAGATGCGGAATCGCTAGGTCCAACCGATACCTGGAGGCGAATAGATCTATCATAAAGGCAAGTAGATCGAAAGCGTTTCTAATACTTCGATATACGGGGTGTTCTACTGACTTTCGTCTTATCTACGACAACATTCTTAAGGATTGGATTTTTCGCTAACAAAGACATCAGTAGTCGATAAATCGATAATTTCTTTTAAATAATTGAATTTTAAAGATGAAAGTAAATGGCCAAAATTTTAATTCCATATGCCTATAATTTGCCGAGACAAAAGAGCCGAGACAAAATTGAATATCTTTACAATCAATTTCAAGAAAATCAATTATAAAGATATTCAATTTATTTGGAAATACTTATGTAGTTGAAGTAGTATTTGTGAGCATAAATCTATTTAGTTTATAAAGCATTTATGAAATTTTAAAAGCATTTCTAAAATTTATTTGCCAAGAGCTTATTTAAAAAGCTGATAGCTTCGGAGAAATAATAATTTTCTTCAATATTTTCTCGAAGACGCCGATTCCAAATTGAATTCACAGACGAAAGCTGGTTTGCCGGATCACCCCATACAACATGACGCAACGCAATCGCCTATCAAACGTATAATAAATGTAAATCTCATAATCTCTATTTGTTATCTATCGCGTTACGATCACTTGTTAAATATCGCTGAAAAATGTAGGAAAGAAAGGAAACTAGAAACTCTCGTGAAATTCCTTATACATTCACTCATTAAGTAACATTCAAATGTTAGCATTCAATTAACATACGAAAACTTTAACTTTGCGAGCAACTCCTTCGTTTAATTTTATATTACATTATATTTGTATACATAATTATAATGTTAGATTGAGCAATGAGAAAATTACAGTGCAAAAATAGAAAAACTAAAAGACGGATGATAGACATTCTTCGTCTGAAAGCAAAAGCAAGTGTATCGCGATTCGATTTCTCACGTATTCCACGAGCGTCCCTTTATCGGGCGAAATGGAGGGCGAAATGCAGCCGACGTTGGCATTACGTAAGCGATGCATGTAACTCTCCTGGCTGCGCTCGATTATGTGGGAAGTCGATCGCAGCGCTGTATCTGAAAACGGCACATGCACACACGCACAATCGAGGGGATCGTCGAATCGAATGTGCGATCGCTGAAGCGTGACTTCGAGAGCGGTTTATGCATCCAGGCACACGGGCTTTTGTGTCTATCTTTCTCTCTCTCTCTCTTCCTCTTTGTTCTTCTCATTCGTAGGATATGCCGCAGCTATCTTACGTCTTACATCCTACTTACGTCCACGAGACGTAGCAATAATTGGCTCCAGAGATAGTCAGGCAGCTTTCGCGAAAATCCTTGTTCCGTCTAGATCGAGATCTAGGATCTCTGGCCAACACAACGGCGAAGAGTTTCGATAGATATATATTCTTCGGTTTATAGGATTTCTTTTTATTTCAAGAGTCCTTCTAAAATCGCAAGAAGAAAATAATTGCAGGTTGCAGTTACATTTCTGCTTTATTTAATATTTTAATAATAATAAGAATAAAAAATAAGAGTAAAAAATAAGAGTGAAGGGAAAGATAGTAAAAAAAAGGGCTAGAAGAGTAAAATCCTCGTTCAAATTCCAACAGACACCTCCAAACACAAATAATATCGTGTAGATATGCATACCATGTTTCATAAATGTACGTTAATCGTTAGATTGATATAACAATTTGATAAAATTTATCAGTTAGTATTGCAGGATAACAATTTCTTTTAGCACAATTTTTTAATACAGTTGTGCAATAATGTATGGGGGCAGGAATCGAATCACTTTCGAGGAGTATTTTTTGTCGAGCAATTTCATCGGACACGGCGCGCTTTAAATAAATAAATAAATAACGAAATAAATGAGTGAACATTCAGACGACTATTCGGTTTTATGTCTCGTTTTCGTCGTCTCTTTCAGTCGTTGCCTCTTCCGTCGGCCATTTCCCTGCAGTCGCGGCTGGATCCACGGTGGTAGTGGTCGGTGGATCCGTGATCACGATCGGTCCAAGAGGTTCCGCTGTCTGTTCTTCGTCCTTAGGAGGTCCTTTCTCAGGCTTGTCCTCATTCGAGGTTTCTTCGATACTCGGCTTATCCGCGAGACTTTGAACGTCTTGTGACAATTCCGTAGCGGCGTCGGGCATCGGTGGTATCAACTCCATCGATGGTACCATCGTTTTTATCTGGCACTGTCGGCCCATGTAACCCAAGGGACAGATACATCTATAAAAAAAAAGTGAACGGGAAATCCCTTCTAATAAATCCCTTCTATAAATTAAAATTAAATGTTACAAGCGACCAAGCAAATCTCAGCTTTTATTAAATTTTAAGCGTATTTTATTGCGAATTCAGAAATTTGAAAAAAAAAGATAGAGCACCACTAAATTCTTCTTACAAAAATATATTAATTTTTAATATCGCAATAAATTGAATATAATAAATAATTGAATAGATAGAATAATAGTAAATATATTGAACGTAAGTTTATACACAGATTGTAATTACTATTCATATTGTTTTGCAACTGAAGTGGGATCAATTTTATTACGAATTCAGAAATTTGAGAAAAAGATAGGGTAAATATTTCCCTTTACATAGCACCCGCCAATCAACTTCCGTTTGACCTTGATGTTGACCTTG